AATACATAGAGCGAGCCGATGAGCGGAACCAAACACATACAGCGAGCCGAGAGTAAACCAAAGCTCAACGGATCGCCGCCGCAGTGGTTGCTATTCCCCTCCTACCGTTCGGTAAGCAATTGCAAAAGCATGGGCGGGCTGCCGCCCTGGCCGTAAAGCGATTCGAACATGGCCGGCCCGCGGCCGCCCCAGCAGTGGCGCGGCCTGTTGGCCATCGTCGTCTGGTGCGTCGCGGCGTTTCTCTACACGCACCCGCAGCGGCACGTCGACGAGGTGAAAAACCATTGGCAGTCGCTGCAGCGGCCGGCGGCGCCGCAGTGGTACGAGCCGGCCTGGTCCGCCGCGACGCCGGCGCCGACGGCGGCGCCGCGCGCCGGCGCGCTGTCGTCGCTCTACGCGCTGCTCCACGACGGCCACGGCGCCGAGCCCGCGCCGCCGCCGCCGCGGCCGGCGGCGGCCGCCGCCGCGGAGCGCGAGCTACCCGAGCCTCCGCCCGCCGCACCGCCGGCGCACGTGACCGGCCTCTCGTCGCTCTACGCGCTGCTCCACGACGGCCACGAGGCGCCCGCGGCGGAGCCCGAGACCGCGCCGGAGCCCGAGGCCGCGCCGGAGCCGAAGCCGGGGCTGGCCTCGTCGCTCTACGCGCTGCTCCACGACCGCGACGAGCCGCCCGCTGCGCCGAAACCCGAAGCGAAGCCCGCGACGCGGACGTGCCTCACCGTCGACGTCGACGACGGCTTCGGGCGCGTCCCCGTCGGCGCGTCCGTCGTCGGCGAGGACGGCGTCGCCGCGACCCCCTGCGAGGCCAAGAGCCGGTGCCGCCGGTCGAGGGACTGCGCGGGCTTCGCGCGCGACGCGTCGGGCCTCACGCGCTTCCTCACGGCGTCCGAGCTCGCGGCCGCGGCCGCCGCGCCCGAGGGCTCCGCGACGTTATCCGTCGCGCTCTACGGCGCGCGCGGCGACGCGCTGCGGTCCGCCCTCGCGGCCTGGGACGCCCGCCCCGCGCTCCAGACCCTGTCGTCGAACGCCCTCGAGGCCGCGCGGGCGGGCTGGGGCGACCGCGGCGGCGCGCCGTTCTTTTCGCGGAACGCGACGGTGCCCCACTACTCGCGCGACGGCGCGCTGCCCGTGGCCTACGACGTGTCGCCCCTGCACGCCGAGCTCTGGGCCGACGCGAACAAGAAGCTCGCGACGGTCGACGAGGGCCTCTGCGAGGGCAAGACCAGGTGCGCGAACCGCAAGGACTGCGGCGGGTTCATCTACCGCGTCCGCGACGGCGCGGCCGTGCTCTACGGCGGCCCGCTGAAGACGGGCAAGGCCGGCGCGCCCGCCGTCGAGCAGCGCCTGCGGAAGCGCGCGCGCAAGGTCGAGCCCGCGCTCCGGCTCTACCGCAAGGCCGAGCGGAGCGGCCGGACGCGCGTCGACGTCTGCGTCTCCGCGGACGGCGTCGCCGCGCCGCGCCTCCACGACGACGCGGGCGCGCGCGACGCGTCCGGCGTCGCCGGCGCGCTCGCGCCCTACGCCGCGCGCGCGCGCGCGGGCGCCGCGCCCCGGGTGATCGTGTCGCTGACGACGCTGCCGGGCCGCATCGAGCAGATCCGGCCCGTGCTCGAGAGCCTGCTGGACCAGACGGCGCCCGCGTTCGAGATCCAGGTCCACGCGCCCCTCGCGTCGACGCGGGAGAAGCGGGAATACGCGTCGCCGGACTGGCTCAGGCGCATGGCGACGGTGCGCCTCGTGCGGTCCGCGCGGGACTACGGCCCGGCGACGAAGGTCATCCCCGCGATCATGAACGCCCAGGCGCGCGCGGCCGAGGGCAACGCGACGCTCGAGCTCGACGGCACGCTCTACGTCGTCGTCGACGACGACACGCTCTACCCGCCGCGGCTCTTGGAGACTTTGGCGAGCTGGTCCGCGCGGTTCCCGGACGCGACGCTGTCGTCGACGGGCTGGCCCGTGACGCGGTCCGGCACCTACCCGCACTGGACGGAGAACTATTTGGTCTACGGCAACGAGTTGTACGCGCCGCACGCGGTGTCCATCATCCGGGGCAACTGCGGCTTCGCGGTCAAGGCCAAGTTCTTCGACGACGCTTTATGGCGCACCATGGACGCCGCGCCGCCGGGCGCGACGATCATGGACGACGTCTGGATCTCGGGCCACCTCGCGCGGCGCGGCGTGCCGCGCTTCGTCGTGCCGTCGGACGGCGACCAGTTCACGCGGACGCCCCACTTCGAGAACGTCGTCACGCTCGACGGCAACCTGGGCAAGGGCGTCACGGACCGGAAGCAGGCCAACGAGGCCGGCCTGCGCCACTTCAAGGACGACTGGGACGTGTTCTGGGACCCGCCGCGGCCCGCGCCGCGGCCGCGGGCCTAACGGGTGCGGGGTGGATCCTTATGGAGGACGACGACGGACGAACAGGGGTGCGAGAGAATTGGGAGCCCTCACGGGCTGCTGGTCACGTCGCTGAGCGGCGAGAGCCCGCTGTCCTTGACCTCGCTCCCGTCGAGCGGCGCGAGCTCGACGCCGTCGGCGTCGGCGAGGAGCGGCGTCTCGCCCGAGGAGAAGGGGCGCGCCACGGGCGACGAGCTCGTCGGCGTCGAGGGGATCGTCGCGAGCGGCGGGTTCGACAGGCGCCGCGTCGCCTCGAGCTTGCCCATGGCCCGGACGGCCGACGCGGCCGCGAGGAACGACGACCGCTTCTTCGGCGACGGCGGCGACCCGTCGCCGGCCGCGGGCTCCGATGCGGCGGACGCCGGCTCGGGCTCGAGGGCCTTGGCGGCCTTCTCCGGCTCGGGCGCCTTGGGCTCCGGCGCCGTCGACCACGCGGCGATCTGCCGCCGGTGGATGGCGACGACGTTCTCCTTGACGTCCTCGAGGATGTCGACGCCGCAGCCCCCAAAGGCCGCGAGCATGTCCGCGTAGTTGAGCACGTAGAGCTCGACGTCGCCGACGGCGCTCACCGTGCAGTCGGAGACGACGTCGATGCCGAGCGCCGCGAGCTCCCCGAAGGAGTCGCCCTCGACCAACGGCGCCATGCAGCGCGTCATCGCCTCGTCGTCGTCGATGATCACCGTCGCCTCGCCTGAAAGGATGATGAACATGGAGTGCGACTCCTCGCCCTGGACGATGATGCGGTCGCCGTCGACGGCGCGCGTGAGCCGCACGAGCGTCACGAACTTGGACACGAGGCCCTCGGGCAGGGACGCGAAGAGGCTGTGGCCGATGACGACCTCGTGGAGCAGGAACTCGGCGATGTTCTGCTGGAGGTCCGTCGACAGGTCCTCGAAGATGGCCTCCTCGTCGATCGCGAGCCGTTGACTGTAGTACGCGCGGTAGTAGCGCCGCACCTCGCGGCGGATGCGGCTCGGGAAGCGGTGGTGCTTCATCCAGACGGCGACCGAGTCCATCTTCTCGTAGTACTTGGCCGAGTCCGCGTCCGCGCACGAGATGATACTCGCGGCCTGCGCGACGACGTAGCCGTAGAACCCGCTGCCGACGACCATGGCCAGGATCGTGTAGGCGCGCTCACTGTCGGACTTGGGGATGACGTCGCCGTAGCCCACGGTCGAGATCGTCGTGATGGCCCAGTAGAGGCCCAAGAGGTATTTCCGGATCGTCGCCCAGTCCTTGGCCGCCGGGTGGCCCTCGATGGGGTGGTACTTGGCCATGGTCATGCCGCCGCAGGCGGCGAAGAAGCAGGAGAGGAAGTGGGCGAAGATGGCCGTGAAGCCGACGATGTTGATGAGCTTCATCGCCGTCTTCGACGCGGACGACATCAAAAAGTCGTCGATGAGCTCGCCGATCTGCGAGTCGCTCGAGATCTTGAGGATCTTGGCGATGCGGAACACTTTAAAGATCTTGAAGACGCGGCCGATCTTGAGGAGCTTCGCCGCCCGCAGCGAGCTCGCGCCGCCGCCGCCGCCGCCGCCGCCCGGGTTCACCCACGGCGTCAGCATGAGCCCCGGCCGCGCGGCCCAGCCCAAACAGTACTCGAGCACCGGCGGCATGGACGACACGAAGTCGATGGGGAACCAGGAGCAGAGGTAGTGCGTCGCGGCCCGCTTCGCGCCCATGACGACCTCGCCGTCGGACGTCACGAAGCCCGTCTTCAGGTTCACCGCGAGGTCCAGCACGAAGAAGCCATCGAGGAGCGCCTCCCAGACGCGGTGCGACTCCGGCAGCTTCGCGTTCGCCGGCACGTAGCCGAGCCGGTAGGGCTCCCAGAACGCGACGTAGACGAGAAAGAGCGCCGTGATGATGTCCCAGATGATGCGGAAGGCGCCCTGGGGGTTGATCATCCAGAAGCTCGACGTCGGGGCGACGACGGGGATGGCGGCGGACATGCGCCGCGCGTGCGTCGCGAGCTCCGTGTTGAAGAGGCAGAGCTTGGACTCGAGGGAGAACCGGACGGACTCCGTCGTGTCGCGGCGGCCGCGCGACTCCGTCGCGCCCGGCGCGAGGAGCTGGGCGTCGCCGTTGAGCGCCTCGCCGGACGCGGCCTCCTGGACCTTGTCCCCGGGCAGGGGCGCGAGGCCGCTGAGGGCGCGCTGCACGGCCTCGGCCGCCTGCGGGTCGCCGCTCTTGCCCGCGCTGTCGCGGCTGCCCGTGCTCCCCATGGACTGATGCGAGTTGCCCCGGCTCAGGAGGCTCCGCTTGTCCGCCGCCGAGTCCTCGCTGGGCTCGTTCTCGCTGCTCTTCCCGAGGGCCGCGAAGGAGCCGCCGCCGCGGGACTCGGCCTCGGCCTTGGCGCAGAGCGCCTCGAGGCGGTTCGCGGTCTTGCGCAGGGCCTTGGCGTCGAGGGCCTCGCCCCGGGCGGCGAGCGACTCGAGGGCCGCCGCGCCCTGGTCCACGCTCCGCACGACGAGCGTCGCCGGGCTCACGAGGACGTCCATGGCGCCGGGGGCGCACGTCGCGCCGGCGGAGCGGGGCGCCGGCTCGGGTCGAATGGCCGCCGGGTTGCGGCGGGCGCCCGTCGCCGGCGTGTGTCGGCGAGGCGTCGACGGCACCCGCGAGCGCCGCCCCGCCGACCGAACGACGTCGACGCGGCCGTAACAGCACGCCGACGCACCGACGCCTTTTTTGCTCGGGCTGCCCGCAAGCCTTAACGTCCTGTTCAATGAACATTCACGACTTTGTTCAACGCCAACGCCGCGGGCGCACTTCAATGCTTTGTCTCATCTTTGGCGTCGGGTTGGCACTCCCTCGGCCTGCGTTATCGCAGCAGCGCCACCGGGCCGCCGTCGCGCCGCGCCACACGCGACCGGCCGCCGGCCGCGCGCCGCCGCGGCGCGCGCTCGCGCTCGCATCAAACGCCACCATGGCGGACTCGGCGAACGTGGAGGACCTCACGATGGCGCCGCTGGCGCCCACGGAGATGGACCAGCGCATGATCAGCGCCATGAGCAGCCACAGCCTCATCGAGCTGCCCTTCTTCAGCAGCATGCCGGACACGTCCGGCGACCGGCGCTTCACGGACACGCGCAAGTCCAAGTTCATGAGCCAGGTCCACGGCAAGGAGGGCCGCGTCGCGCGCCGCGAGCCGCCGCCGGTGAACACGTTCACGGTGAAGCCGAGCCCCGCGTTCGTCTTCCGGGACACGCGCGGCGCGCCCAAGGTGCTCACGGAGGAGGCGCGGCCGACGCCCATGCCCTTCCGGCCGGGCCGGGGCCCGAAGCCGCCGAGCCTCGCCGCGGGCTCCTTCGGCGTCGGCCCGGGCGTAGGCTGCGCGGAGATCTTCCCGCGCTTCGACTTCAACGTGTCGTCGTCGGCGCTGTCGTCGTCGGCCTACGGCCACGCCGTGCCGGGCGCGGGCAAGCCGCCGCGCAAGCCCCTGCGGGCGCCCGCGTCGTCCGTCGAGGACCTCATGGTCGCGAACGAGGCCGACGAGGCCGAGACGACGCGGCGCTTCAACGAGCTCCGCGAGGAGATCATCCGCAACGAGCACAACCGCATGAACCGCCGGCGCACGTCGAACCAGATCCAGGCGCGCCACGAGTCCAACTCGCGCAGCATGGCCAACGCCATGCAGATCTTCGGGGACTGACGCGCGGTAACGCCGTCGACCCGAGGTCGTCGCGGGGGGATCGGAGCCTGGCGGCGCGGGCGCCCGGGGCATGCGTACTAGGAGAAGAAGGACCGGACCGCGGCGGCGATCGCGCCGCCGTCGCCCTGGAGGCCCTGGACGAAGGCGAGCGCGTCGAAGGACACGGAGCAGAGGCCTAAAACGCTCAGGACGCAGCCCAGCGTCGTCAGCTGCGCCGAGTAGGTGGACTGCTGCCAGGCCGCGTGGGCCCCGACCTCGTTCTGGAGCGCCTCGCCCGCCGCGATCGTCGCGTGCAGGCTCTCGACGAGCGCCTCCTGCCGCGCCTCGGCCTCGCGGAGCTCGTAGCTGTCCGCGTCGGCGAAGAGCCGCTGCTGGGGCCGGCCGCTCAGGCGCACGACGGTCTGGAGCGCCGCGAGCTCGGGCACCTCGTGGCGCCGCATCGTGATCGCCGCGTAGCGCAGCGGCATGAGCTCGCGGCGGATCGCCTGCAGCGCGTCGGGCCCCACGGGCCGGTGCGCGCCCGCGAGGAGCGCCTCGTGCTGGAGCCGCGCCTTGAGCTCGAAGATCTCGTCCTCGAGCGCCTCGACGGAGTCGGCCGTGATCGACGTGATCTCCGAGATGACCGCGGACCTACCGAGCGCGACGGCGACGATCGCTCGTCGTGTTCCCACCCCGCATCTCTCGAAATTCGTCGCGGCCGCGGGACGCCGCCGCGGACGCGAGCGCGCCGCAGGACCGGGGCCCCGCGCCCGCGTCGAGCCGCCGGCTCAGCGCGGGCATGCGCAGGCTGCCCTCGTCGGGCGCGGCGCCCCGCGCGGTGACGATGATGCCGCGCCCGAGCCACATGCGGAAGGGCACGACGTTCTTCGACTCCACCGCGTGGGCCTCGAAGCGCTTCCCGAAGTTCGCCCGCAGCGTCAGCATCATGCCCGCGCAGGCCGACGACACCTCGCACCGCGGCTGCGTCTTCCGCGGATCCGCGACCATGGGGACGACACGTGCGTCCGGCGGCAGATCTCGTCGTCGCGGCCCTTGGCTCGCGCGCAGCTCGCGATGAAGTCCTGGGCCTTCGGCGCGCGCAGGTCGAGGTGGACCCAGCTGCCGTCGCCCTCGCGCGCGCGGCGCACGGCGCCGTCGTCCCAGGGCGCGAGCGGCCGCGACCCGCCGGCGCCGTCGAGCAAGTGGCCGAAGATCCACCCGCCGTCGTTGCCGCCGCACAGGGGCCGCCGTGTGCCTCGCCGAAGATCCAGCAGCCCATGCGCCGGCAGCGCGCGCCGCGCGAGACTCATATCCCGCAGGGAGCTCTTGCCATTTGCACGCTGCCCCGACCTCAACATCGTGGGCGTTCAGTGCACCCTGTGTGTGTTTCACTTTGCGGCGACGCCATCGACTGGCCAAGCCGCTTGCCGTCGCTGTGCGCCGCTCCATCTCCCGAGAGGTGCTAGCCCGCGTCCGCACATCGTGAGAGAGCGGAAAGCTACCCTCTAGTTGGTCGCCGCGCGCCTGACCACGCGCCTTGGCCCGTTCCCGGGAAGCGAGAGTACGAGTCCGTCCAAAATGGCGGACGCCGATGTCGCTATACCGTCCGATTTACGCCCCCGTACTCGCGAAGGCACACTATTCGGCGCGCACCCCGCAGGCCATGGCCGACGACGACGGCGGCTGCATCTGCGGCTGGAGCGCGTGGGACGTGTCGTGTTGCATCCCCGTCCGGATCTACTGGCTCACCTCGAACATCTTGGCCGGCGTCTATTTCACGTTGACCTATCCTTGCTCCGGTGACAAGAACGACTGAGCCCGCCCCGCGCTCCCGCGGCGCCACGTCCACGCCGCGTCGCCCGCCCGCCCGTCCACAAATTCGAAGAATCACCGCCACGCCACCAAGGGCACTGTGCTAGATAAAATTGCTGTACTTAGAGCGCCGGTTCCGGATAGACCCCTAGTCGATGTCGAAGAGGAGCGTGTTCTGGAACTCGGGCGCGTTGAACGTCGCCGCCGGCGCCGCCGCGGCGGGCGCCTTGGTGTCGAGCTCCGTCGCGCGGGAGAGCGTCGGCGGCGGCGCCTCCTCCGGGTCCTCCTCCGGGTCCGCCGCGGCGGCCGCCGCCTCCTTCGGCGGCGCCGCCGCCTTCTTGGTTTTTTTCGCCGCGGCCTTCTTCTTCGGCGCGGCCGCGGGCGCGGCCGCGGCGGCCGGGGCGAAGGCCGCGAGCTCGGCGACGGGCGCGTCCCAGAAGGCCGGCGACGCCTTGGCGAAGACGAAGACGACGTTGTCGTCCGCGGCGTCGTGGCGGCACCGGTCCGGGACGACGAAGCCGCCGAGCGCGAGCCCGAACTCGCGGACGCCCGCGGGCGACACGAGGCGCACGTGGCAGACGCGCCCCTCGAAGCGCGTGACCACGTCCGTGACGCCGGCGGCCTCGACGATGACCGTGGCCGTCGCCTTCTGCTGCCGCGCCTCGAAGGCCGGCGCGGGGAGCGCGTCGTCCGGCGGCGGCGCGGCCGCGGCGGGCTCCCGCGGCGGCAGTTGCGCGTCGTCCCGGTGGTAGCCGAGGCGCCGGTGCTTCATGGCGAAGTAGTAGCCGGGCTTGGGGCCCGCGTAGCACGCCGCGGCGACGAAGCTCGGGTCGTCGGGCGCGTCGGGCGCCGCTTTGAAACCCGCCGCCGCGGACCGCGCGGCTTGCAGATTGTCGTCCTTGAGGACCGCGTCGATGGCCGGCGCGCCGTCGTCGTCGTCGTCGTCGTCGTCGGCCGCGGTTTCGCTCGCCTTGATGGCGTCCGCGGCGAAGGCCATGCGCTCCGACTCCTTGGGCGCGAGCCAGCGGTTGTGGTCCGTCGCCTTCGCCGGCCGCGCCGGGAGCGGCGCCTTCTTCGGCTTTCTCGGCGGCTCCTCGAACGCCTCAAGAACCTCCACGGGGTCCTCGGCCGGCGCCGGCGACACGTCGAGGACGCCCGGGAAGGCGCTCTCGTCCGGCGGCGGGTCGACCTTCCCCGGGAGCACGGGGATGGTCACGTTCAGGACCTTCTGCTTGCGGTCGAACTTGGCCGCGCCCTTGGCGCCGTCGACGTCGTAGGGCAGGCGCCTCTTGAGCCTGTAGACGGGTGATGCGCCGTCGAGGCTCGCGGTCAAGGAGAAGTCGCGCGCGTCGACCTCCAGGTCGACGCTTTTGGCGTTGGGCAGCAAGGGGAGCTCGACGGACACGACGAGCTCCTTGGGCCGCCGCTGGACCGTCGAGCCGCCGCTCATGTGGTTGCCCATGTCGAAGTAGCCGCGCTCCTTGATCCGGACGACGGGCTCGTAGGGCGGGCCCTCCGGCTTGGGCTCCGGCGGCGGCGGCGGCGACGCGGGCGCGATGCCCTTGGCCTCGAGGATGCGCCGCGCGCGCGCGAGCTCCTTCGGGTCCATGGCCGCGGCCTTCTCCCGGGCCGCCGTCGCCGCGGCCTCCTTCGCGCCCTGCTTCTTCGCCGACGCCGCGTCCATCTTCGCCGCGAGCTTCCCTTTGAGCGAGAACTCCTTCGGCGGCGGTGGCGTCTCCGTGTCGATGTCGTCGTCGAGCTCGTCCTCCTCGTCCTTGGCGCCGCCCTTCTTCTTCTTGCGGTTGCGCTTCTTCTTCTTGTTGGTCTTGTTGGCGGCCCCGTTCTCCTTATCTTCCTTCGGCGCGGGCTTGTTCAACACGCTCGCCACGTCCTTGGCCTGCGTCGTCGAGTGGTCGTCGGGCACCATCAAAGGCTGGGGGTGGCCCGTCTTGTACATGACGCCCAGCAGCACGTGGTAGGTGCGCTCGAGCTTCTCGCCCTTGCTGTTGCGCTCGTAGGACCCCTCGACGGATTCGATGGCCGTCTGCGCGAGGAGGTCCCGGAAGGGCTTCGACGCGTTCGCGCGCTGGACGGCCGCCGGGTGGAAGCAGCAGTCGAAAGTCGACACCGTCGCGTCCTTCTTGTCGCGCTCCATGCGCGGCGGGCCCAGGAGGTGCGGCAGCGCCCAGCGCGACCCGCCGTCGCACGGCGTCGCCTCGGGCTCCTGGAGCTTCTCGGAGGACACGATGTTGATGAAGACCTTGGCGCCCGTGTGGTCGGCCTTGCCCATCTTGCGCGTCTTGACGACGAAGCCCGCCTTGGGGTGGATCAGCGCCTTGCCCTTGGGCGTCTCGCCCTTGGCCTCCATCTCGCGGATGTACTGGTTCTGCTCCTCGCGGTACTTGGGGTCGCTGATCTCGTCGACGTACTCGGCCATCATCTTGCGGAACTCGGGGTCCCCGAAGGCCTTCTTGAACTTGTCCTGCTCCTCGGCCGTGATCTCGAGGTCGCTGCCGCTGCGCTTCATGGCCGCCTCCATGGCCGCCTCGAGCTCGCCGGCCTCCATGTTCTCGATGCCGCACTCGCTCGGCTTCTTCAGCTCGCACTTGCTGCCGTCGACGAGCACCATCGTCGAGGGCGGCGCCGCGCACCGCGAGGCTGGGACACGACCGCCTCGCGACGCGCTCGAAGCTGTTGAGCCGCTGCCACAGCGGCGGCTGGCGATGTCGACATCATGGCTGCATCATCGACGGCTGCCCGGCGCCGCGACGATGCGCGCCGCGGTGCTGCGATGCTTGGTCGCAGCGCTGCTCCTCCCCGTAGCAGCACCGTCCTCCGTCGCGCTCGTCTTCGTCGGCCACGCGCGGAGCTTCCACCGGCCGGCGGTGCACGAGTCCATCAAGCGCCGGCTCGTCGACGGCTTGGGCAGCGGCGACGTCTTCTGGTACTTCGCCGAGGACCCGGGCTGGAGCGACGCGACGCGGACCACGCTCGTGCGACTTTTCGCACCCGTGGCGACGGCGGTGCACGCGGAGGAGGAGCCCGCCGGCGCCTGGCACGGCGCCTGCGCGGCTCCGCCGCTGCCCGACGTCGAGGGTCTGGGTGTGCCGCCGACGTTCAAGTTCTACGGCGACCCGCCGAGGGCCGCGGCCATCGCGCGCGCCATGTTCGCGAAACTCCGGGGCGCGCTGGCGCTCGTCGCGGCGCGCGAGGCGGCGCTCGGCCGGCGCTACGACTGGGTCGCGCGGTGCCGCTTCGACTGGGGGTGGTTCGGGACGCTGCCGCCGCTCGACGCCTGGCCGCGGGACCGGCTCTACGTGCCGACGCAGACCTGGAACGGCGTCAACGACCAGTTCGCGCTGGCGCCGCGGGACCTCGCGGACGTTTATTTCGGCGCCGCGGACGCGCTCGACGCGTGCGACGAAGGAACGGGCTACCCGGCGTGGCACGCGCTCGTCGGCCGCGACATGGTCACGGGCTGCGACGCGTCGGGGCAGTGCGGCGTCAACGTGTCGCGCCACGAGCCCGCGGTCTGGCAGCCGGAGACCATGCTCTGGACGCACCTCAAGAGAAAGGGCGCGCGCGCGTCGCGCCACACGTTCCCCGCGGCGATCACGCGCCTCGACGGCACGAGCCGCTGCCTCGAGCTCATGCCCCACGTGCTGCTGAGCACGGTGCTCGACGCGGCCTTCGAGGAGCTCGTCGCGGGCGCGCGCGCGGACAAACGGACGGCGAACGTCCTCAAGACCGCGCACGTGTCCGCGTGCGCGGCGCGCTTCCCCTGCTGCCACCTGCTGGTCAACGCCGACGGCGCCGACGTGAACGTCTCCCTGGACATCCACGCGCCCATCCAGGCGAGCTGCGACGCGCTCAAGTTGGGCCCGCGGCGGTGCGAGTTGTTGGAAGGGCACCTGCGGACGTCGTCCGCGGTCGCGGACGACGACACGGTCGCGGGCGATGTCGCCTTCCTCGCCGGCCGCGCGGCGGCGTTGGCGCGCGTCGACCCCGACGCCGTCGTCATCGTCCAGGTCAACTCGGCGCCGCCGGTCGCGTCCGCGTCGCCGGACGGCGCGCGGGACGCCGCGCCCTTCTCGAGCCGCTTCGCGGTCCTCGCCAACGAGGCCCACGCGACGGCGCTCGCGTTCCTCTGCGCCTACCTCGAGCGCGTGCCCCGCGCCGAGGCCCTCGCGGCGGCCCGGGGCTTGGCCGGCGTCCTGGACGTCGAATGCGCGGCGGCCGCCGCGCACCTCCACGCGGCCGAGACGTCGGTCCACGGCCTCGTCGACGACGACGCGCTCACGAACCCGAGCTACGCGACGACGCGCCAGAAGGTCCTCGGCTGGGAGGTCTGGACCGTGCCCTTCGGGAGCTGCACGGCCCACGTCCCCGAGACGCCCTTCTCCGCGCCGCTCCGCGCGGCGAAGCGACGGGGGAACGAGGGAGGCTAAGAGTTGGGCTGTTTAATTTAGGCGCGGAGGTGGGCGAAGCCCATGAACGGAGCCTCGCTGGGGTTGAGCCAGTACTCAGCGAGGCGACCTTCGACAGGGAAGGGTGGGCTGACCTCGCGCCAGGCCCAGGTCGAAGGTCCGACGCGTTCGAGCTCGAAGAATTTGAAGGTCCCATCGGCCCACATCACGATGTTGATGAGCGCTTCCTGGTGAATGGTGAAGCAGCTTTCGGGTCCAGGATGGCTAGCATGCGTGGAGCCCACGCATTCGGACCACGTGCAAGTCTCCGTGTCGAAAACAGCGGTCACGAGATCAAGCTCGGGTTCGAATTCCACTTGCACAGGGCTCCACATACAAAAGATATGGCTCCCCGCCGAGCGCATATCGAGGCACCACCCCTCTGCATGACAATCCGGCCCGCGGGTCCAGGCGCGTCGTGTCGGGTCGTAGATCTGCAACACTGGTGCTCCCCACTCTCCAACGCGGTTGCCGAGAACGTAGAGCTTGCCACAGCACGCGCAGCTCAACAACTCAGATTCGACGCCGATGGGCATGTCCGCGAGCTGCGTCCACGCACCCGATTGCAAATTCAGGGTGCGCACACTCACGCGCGCAGCGGAAATCGCAGAGGGATCATCAGTGTCCAGCGGCGTGCCGCCGACGAAGCACAATTCCGAGCCGAGCGCACAACAGGCGAAGCTTGTCAGCGCGCCGAGGTGCGCGAAGTGGTCGATCGTCCGCCAGGCATTCTTCTTGAGCGAATATACGTGCATGGGCGGCAGTTGCAGCTCCCCGCCTCGCTCCGAGCGGTGCGGGAACGTCACGGAGCAGAGCTGTCCTCCGATGACGACGGGCCCGACGTAGGTCACATCTAAGTCGTCTCCCGGGCAATTCGCACAGAACCGCCAGCTGCAGCTGAGCTTGCGCTCGAGGTCGCGGATCCGCTGCTCCAGCGCGCGCTGCTCCGTCGTCAGCGCTAACCGTAAATCGTCGGTCGTGTCGCGCTGGAGCACGCCCGGGTGTGAGTCGAGGATCAGCGTCAAGGCCGGGCGACCCCACCAAAGTAAAGGTCTGTGCATGATGAGCACGCGCGGATGGACGTTGCGGCCGGTGGCGGCGAGGCGCCGGCAGGTCACCGCCGCGCGCGCGCCGTCGACGAGGCCCAGGTACGCGCACGAAGAGACGAGCGCGTCGTCGGGCAGGCGCAGGAGGGCCAATGGGGCTGTGTCGCCGCGCCGCTTCTTCCCCTCGGGCGGCGCCTCGGGCGGCGCCTCCGGGGCTGCCGACGGACCGAAGAAGAATTTACGGGCGCGGCCGAGCATGGTTCCAGGCGCGAACATCGTGACTTGCTGAGTGCGAGTTCTGCTTCAACGTTGCCGATGTTGCCGTCGTTGCCTCGGCAAAGCACGATGGTGCGCTCGAAAAACACACCGAAGGAGGCCACCAACGAGCCATCAACGGACACCGCCGACGTCGACAAACCCCTCGCGACGTCGCGCATCGACCAGCCGCTGACCTCCGCGCGCGCCGGCGCCCGCACCGCGCCACAGACGTCGCCGCCGCGGCCCCACCAGCCGCCGTCGCCCGCGCGCAAGAAGCTCCGGAGCGCCGCCCAGGCCGCGAACCACCTCATCAAGAACGCCGAGGCCGCGTCGAAGGACCGCAAGGGCGCCGTCGCCGCCGCCGCGCGGCTCTTCGACCTCGCGGCCTCGGACCCGGACACGAAGATCGAGTTCGTCGCCGAGGACGGCACGGTCCTCAACGACAGCGACGACGACGAGGCCGACGGCGCCGAGGTCTTCCTCGAGGACGCCATGGAGGCCGCGGGCCATGCGCCAGCGCGCGCGACGGCGGAGACCTGGGCCGCGTTCTGGGCGTCGAAGCCGAAAGTCGTCGCCGTCGACGCCGAGGGCACGCACGCGTCGCCGCCCCTGCTCGTGCAGCTCTGCGCCGACTCGAGCGCGACGGTGCTCCTCTGCGGGCCCGGCGACGACGGCCTCGAGCCGGACCTCGCGCGGCTCCTCGGCGACGCGTCCATCGCGAAATTGTTCTACGGGCCGCCGCGCCGCGAGCGCCTCGGCCCCGTGGTCCGCGGCGTCGACGTCCAGGCCCTGGCGGCGGCGCGCGACGCCGGCGGCGAGAAGTCCGGTTTGCAAAAGGGCCTCGCGACGGTGGCGGGCGAGGTCTGCCGCGGCGCGCCGTTCGCGAAGCACAAAGAATTACAAAAGTCGTTCCGTTACGTCAAGCGCGCGCCGGACCACGGGAGCCTGGCCTGGCTCTCGCACGCGCAGGCGCGCTACGCCGCCGCCGACGCCTGGGCGACCCTCGAGCTCCACCGGTCCCTCTGCGCGGACGCCGCCGCGGAGGACGTCCCGCCCGAGGAGCCGCGGAAGCGGAAGCCGGCCGGCCGCGACGCGGGCCGGCCCAGGGCGAAGAAGGCCAAGGGCGACGCCGAGGGCACGGGCCTCGACATCGAGATAAGCTTTCAGTAGGGGGCTAGTCGCGGGGATCCTCGCGCGGCCTCTTGGGGCGGCCGGGCAGCTTCTTGGGGCGGCGGTCTTCTTCTCACTCCGCGGCGGCGAGGAGGGGCTCGACGGCGCGGGCGGCCTCGGAATCTTTTCCCGTGAGCGTGCCGCCCGCGGCGAAGGTCGTGAACTCGACGGCGACGCCGCACCCTGCGACGTCGTGGCAGACGCGCGCGCCGTTGATCGCCACCGTCGGGTGGTGGTCGAGGGCGTCGCAGGTCGCCGCGATCTTCTCCACGAGCACCGCGGCCGCGGCGAAGTCGCGGACGACGACGTCGCGGCGGAGCGCGTCGCCCGCGCGGCGCCAGGTCGCCGGGGCCTCCCCCGCGGCCAGCGCGCGGTCCTCGGCGCGCTCGACGACGCGGCGCACGAGCGTCGCGACGCAGGCCGGCCCGCAGCCGTGGGCGTTCGTCGTCAGCACGTAGGCCGCGTCGTCGGCGACGGCGTCGTCGACGTCGGGCGCGAGCGTCTTCGCCGACGCGTCGTAGGTCGTCCCGACGTTGACGACCGCGGCGCCGCGCTTGACGTCGCCCGCGCCGACGAGTCCGGGCCGCCCCGCGGCGGCGAAGACGAAGTCCGCCTCCTCGAGCGCCTTCTCGCGCACGCCGTCGGGCGTGGCCGCGTGGCAGAGCGTCACCGTCGCGTCGCGGCCGGCGAGCGCCTTGGCGAGCGGCGCCCCCAGGTGCGGCGACCGGCCGAGCACGACGGCGGCCGCGCCGCCAAAGTCGAAGGCGAGGTCCGCGCCGCCGCGGTCGAGGTACGCCGCGTCGGCGCGGCTCGTCGTCCGCACGGCCTCGGCGACGCCGAGCGTCCGGAGGATCGCCTCGACCATCACGGGGTCGTCGTTCGCGTCGACGTCCTTGGCGAGGTCGAAAGCCAGGGTCTCGCGGAGCGGCCGCTCGACGAGCACGGCGTCGACGTCCGGGTCCGCGTCGGCCGCGCGCGCGGCCGCCGCGACGGCCGCGGCCGTCGCTCCGGCCGGGAGCGCGGCGACGGCCACGGCGACGCCGTCGGCCTCGAGGAGCCGCGCCTTGTCGAACCAGGACTCGACGGCGCCCGTCGCCGCGTTGGTCGCGATGGCCGCCGCGCGGCCGGCGCCGCCCTGGGCGCCCTCGGGGTCGCCCGCGCGGACGAGCGCGACTTTGGGCCTGCGGCCCGTGGCTTCAAGGACGCCGCGCGCGCGGAGCCGCGCGTCGGCCCGCGCGCCGCGCGCGACGACGTGGCCCAGGGCCGGCGCGGCGACGGCGGGCAGCGGCGCGCCCCCCGTTGCGACGGGCGCCTTGCCGATCGCCGCCGCGAGCGCGTCGTCGACGCGGCGCCAGCGGTTCCCGTCGACGCGGCCGCCGGCGGCGGCCATGCGCAGCGCCGCGGGCGCGCAGCGCGCGGCCACGGCGCCGTGGAAGAGCGCGTCGCGGCCGGCGCCGCCGAAGAGCGCGGCGTCGTCGGCGGCCTCGTGCGCCGCGAGGACCTCGCCGGCGAGGATCGGGTCCTCGGCCGCGATCGCCCAGCCCTCCATTAGCGCCGCGAGGAAGGCGTCGAGCGTGGCTTGCGGCGCGTCCGCGTCCGCGAAGAGGGCCTGCGAGTAGCCCAGGTCCAGCGCGCCGAGCGACCCGGGCGCCGTCGCGCAGATCGACTTGACCTCGTGCTCGCGAGCATCGAGGCCGCCGCCGGGCGCGAAGAACGCGAGCGGTTCCGTCGTGTGGTAGCACTGGACGCCGTCGACGGCGCCGCCGGCGAGGAGCGCCGCGCGGTGCGCCTCGTCGGCGCGCTCGACGACGACGACGTCGACGCCGAGGGCCTCGGCGACGAGCTCCGCGGAGTCGGCGTGCACCGCGACCTTGCGGAGCGCCGCGCCGCGCTTGGCGACGACGGCGAGCGGCGACCGGTCGAACATGGCCCCAAAGGCCTTGACGGGCGCCGCCGCCGCGAGCGAGTTCTGCTCGCAGACGCCGACGACGACGGACGACGGGTCCGCGCGCTGGCGCGCGAGCACGGCGTCGCCCTCGCCGCCGGGCGCGCACGGCGGCGCGACGCGCACATCGAGGCCCCGCGCGGCGAAGGCCCCGCGCGCGAGGCCGCTCGTCAGGCCCGCGAACTGGCCGCCGAGGTAGTAGTCGAGCTGGACGAGGACTTTGCGCATGGTGTGACGCGATCGGCTCGATGAAGTCGTCGAGCGTGAACGACGACATGAGCGGCGATTCCGGCGCGTTGGGGACGGCGCCCGCGACGGCGGCGGCGCCGGGGACGCGGGCGACGGCGGCCGCGGCGAGGTCCCGCGCGTCCGGCAGATGGCCGACGACGCCCGAGAGCGCGTCGAGGAGCCGCTGGTTCTGGCGGCTCAGCGCGGAATTGCGCTGCTCCATGAGGTCCAGTTTCTCGTTGAGCGCCGCGAGCGCGGGCGTCGCGCCCTCGAGGTCGTCGAACTGGGTCTCGTAGCCGTGGCGCCGCGACGCGAGCTTGCGCCGCGGGGCCCCGCTGCGCCACGCGTCCAAGATCTCGCCGTGGAGCCGCCCGCTCTTGTAGGCCTTGATGAACTCGTACTTGAGGTGCGTCCAGACGCCGTAGCGCGTGATGTACTTGCGGAAGATCTCCAAACCGGGCTCGTTGCAGATCGAAATCAACTGCTTCGAGTTGAGCGTGTGGATGAAGCAGATCGTCACGCACCGCGCGGTGTACCAGCGCGGCTGCGGCGTGTGGCCCGCGACGAGCGACGCGATGTCGTCGCCCAAGAAGCCGTCCTCCGTGACCTTGCTGATGGAGAAGGGCACGAGGGGGTTGTGGCGCCCGAACTGCATGACCGTGCCCTTCTCGACCAGAAAGAGCGTGTCGTTGAGGGACCGGTTGCCCTGGACGATCGTGTCGCGCGCCATGAACATGCCCGACTCCAAGGACTGCGCGAAGTTCGTGATGATGGAGTTCGTCTCGAACTCGACCTAGCCCCAGGTTCTTCCGCTGCTTCTTCGAGAAGATGGTGGACGTCCGCTGCTGGTAGCTGAGGTCGCCCGAGACGAACGCGAGTTCGAAGGGCGCGACGAAGAGCACGTAGACGACGAAGATGAGGATCGTCATGTCCCAATAAACCCTCCAGTTCGCGTTGGGGTTGAAGACCCAGGTGTTCGCCGGGAAGGCCTCCGCCTTCTTGCTGGGCTTCGTGTCGGTGTCGTCCAGGTAATTAAGGTCCGACATGCGTTTCCCCGGGTCGTGCTTCGTCTTCTTGCGCACCGACTCCGGCTCCTTCATCTCCACGGCCGGCGACTCGCGCGACCCGCCGTCGGCGCAGGTCACCGCGGCCATGGTGGCACGGGGCTGCCCAGACAAAGCGCAAGGGAAGGCGGGGAGAGCGAAACTTCTAGTAGTTTGTCACCGCTGCCATTCCCAGCACGGGGCTGCCCAGACAAGCGCAAGGAAGCCGGGAGATGAGAAACTAATTGAGTGCATGCTGAGGTCAATATCCGACGCTAAAAGCCTACGTCGACGCGAGACACGCTCCGTCGACACTCTGAGCACCTTTTGACCATCGCCGGGCGCGTGCACACCAAAAATCCGGAATAGCATGGGCAACAAGGACGTCGTCGTCGGCGCCGTCGCCGGCGCCGCCGCGGCCTACGCCCTGGCGACCTACCTCCAGGCCGACAAGCCCACCGCCGCCGCCGCCGCCGCGTCGCCTCGCACCGCCGCCGCCGCGAGCTCTACCACGACGACCACGGACGCCGAGGTCATCGACGGCAAGGCCATCGCCGCGCAGATCCGCGGAGAGATCAAGGCGAGCGTCGACGCCATGGCCGCGGCGCGCGGCGGCGCGCGGCCGGGCCTCGCCGTCGTGCTCGTGGGCGACAGGGCAGGACAAGAGTGATTCAACGTCGCTTCAACGTGGGTGTTCCGCGCGCGCGCGTTCCAGAAGAAGCATCCACGCTTCGAGACCGTTCCGAGAGATGATCGCTCGTCCAAAAATCAGCCGAAACGAGTGGAAATTGGCCGAGATCGGAGCCTTTGAAGTTGGGAATTTCGCACTCTTGTCCTGCCCAGGTCGGCGAGCGCAAGGACAGCGCGACGTACGTGCGCATGAAGAAGAAGGCCGCCGCCGAGGTGGGCTTCCACAGCGTCGACGTCAACCTGCCCGCCGACGCGTCGGAGAAGGAGATCTCCGAGGCCGTCATGCGTTTGAACGCGGACCCGCAGATCCACGGCATCCTCGTGCAGCTGCCGCTGCCGTCGCACGTCAACGAGGCCGCCGTGCTGAAGCGCATCTCCGTGGACAAGGACGCCGATGGCTTCGCGGCGCTGAACGTGGGCAACCTGTGCCTCCGCGGCGGCGACGATCCGTCGGCGGTCGCGTGCACGCCCGCGGGGTGCGCGGAGCTGCTGACGCGGTCCGGCGTCGAGTGCCGCGGCAAGGCCGCCGTCGTCGTCGGCCGGTCGAACATCGTCGGCATGCCCGTGGCGGCGCTCCTGCAGAAGATGGACGCGACCGTGACGGTCTGCCACTCGCGCACGCGCGACATCGCGGCCGTCGTCCGCGGCGCGGACGTCGTCGTCGCGGCCATCGGCAAGCCCGAGTTCATCAAGGGCGCCTGGCTCAAGCCCGGCTGCGTCGTGATTGACGTCGGGATTAATGCGGTGGACGACGCGACGGCGAAGCGCGGCTACCGCCTCGTCGGCGACGTCGACTACGAAGCGGCCAAAAAGGTCTGCTCGAAGATCACGCCCGTGCCCGGCGGCGTCGGGCCCATGACCATCGCCATGCTGCTCCAAAATACGCTGCGCCTCGCCGAGCGCACCCTCGCGCGCGGGCCCGTCGTCGAGGCGGCGCTCGCGCGCGTGACGTCGATGAACGACCTCAGCCGCGACGACGCGTTCCGCGCGAGCCGCCCGTCGAGCCCCGCGCCGCCCTTCGAGGCGGGCACGGCGCGCCTCACGCCCGTGCCCCGGGACATCGCCATCTCCCAGGCCTGCACGCCCCTGCCCCTCGAGTACGTCGCGGCCGCGGCGGGCGTCGCGCGCGACGAGCTCATCCCCTGGGGCCGGCACAAGGCCAAGGTCGACGCGGGCAGGGTCGCGGCGCGCCTCGCGGGCGCGCCCGAGGGGTCCCTCGTCGTCGTCTGCGGCATCAACCCGACGCCCCTCGGCGAGGGCAAGTCGACGACGACGATCGGCCTCTGCCAGGCGCTCGGCAAAAATTTGGGCAAGCGCGTCGTCACGACGATCCGCCAGCCGAGCCAGGGCCCGACGTTCGGCATCAAGGGCGGCGCGGCGGGCGGCGGCTACAGCCAGGTCATCCCCATGGAGGAGTTCAATCTCCACATGACGGGCGACATCCACGCGATCGTCGCCGCGAACAATTGCT